CTCTGCCCACAGCTGGGCTCTGCCCCCCTCATGACATGGGGAGGCTGTTCTTGCCTTGTATTTGCCTTCACTCAGATTGTGCTCCTCAGGGTCATGTCTCCTCTTTCATTTAGTGAGCAAATTATTGCCTTTCCCCTTTACCATTTATATTAGCCGCCACCTCATAAGAAGATATGTCAGCATTTCAACAGAGTGTGATTGCTTACTTAGTGTGTTCAAGGCCATAGGTTAGATTCCTGGCACCACAAAATAAAAGGGGGGGAGGAGGGAAGGAAGGGAAAAGAGAGAGAGAGAGAGAGAGAGTGCCTAAGTGATTTATACAAATTTCATATATAAGGTAAGTCTAGTGCCACTGACTTAGGATTGGGCTGTAGGTCAGTGGTAATACCCTTGTCTAACACATGTGAGTATAACACCCAAAACTGGAATACAACCAGACAGTCTGACAGACAAAATCCTACAACAACAAAGATACAACTGCCTAGGACTGGGGTAGAGCCTATAGTGCCCACCATATGTCCACTTTCTTAACTTCTTCAATGGGCAGAGTCAAATCTAAGACTTCTAGACCTCTAGTTATTTAATCTCAGCCAGGAATGAGTTTCCCCGGGGCTCCGGTGAGCTCCATCTTACATGGCTAGGATGGGGATCCTGACAAGGTTTCAACAGGGCCCAATGCTGACACCTCAGACAAATCAGGTTGGAGAGTTTGCCTGGCTGGGTACTGTTGTCTCACACCTGCAATCCTAGTTACTCAAAAGGCTGAGACCTGAGAATCACAGTTTGAAGCTAGCTGGGGCAGGAAAGTCTGTGAGACTTATCTCCAATAAACCACTCAGAAAAAAGCTGGAAGTGGAGCTATGGCTCGAGTGGTAGAGTGCTAGCCTTGAGCACAAAGAGGCTCAGGGACAGTGCCCAGGCCCTAAGATCAAGCACCAGAACTGGCCAAAAACAAAACAAACAAACAAACAAATAAAAACATCAAAAAAAAAAAACCAAGGGACAATGTCCAGGCCATGAGTTCAAGCCTCAGGATTGGCACACATATACAAAAATCAAGTTTGCCTGGTTTGGGACTCAGAAAGTGAGATCCCAAAGTGAAAGCTTCAGAAACAGCAGCTTCTCCCCACTCTATTTGGTTCTATCTTCTGGGTCTTGTTCTCACCTAACAAAGGCCACAGAAACTAGCATTTCTAAACTAGCAGGTCATAGAAAGCAAGACCTTTTCCACAAAGCCTAGAAACATTGCTCTAATCTTCCCCTTCCTAATTTTCTGTTTTGATTAAAAATTTCCTGGCCTACTTTGTCTGATAGTCGGCAAAAATAATAAGATTATAACCAACCTTCCTTCCTTCCTTTCTTCCTTTTCCCTTCCCTCCCTCCTTCCCTCCCTCCCTCCCTCCCTTTCTTCTTCCTTTCCTCTCTCCCTCCCTTCCTCTTTCGTTCCTCCTTCCTTCCATCCCTCCCTCTTGTCTGTGTCTTCCTGTCTGTCTTCCTTTCTTGAAAGCATCGTTTGCTAGTAAATTGAATCCTTAGAAAGGGGCAGGCAGGGGCAATAGAGTTAGGCAAGTGTGTCTAACTTATGTAAGGGGTGTGGGAAAACCTCTCAGAAAAATGGAGATCCAAAGAACTTCAGTTCAAAGGGAAGGGTAGGAATGGATCTAAACACAGGGAAAAGCCCATGTAAATGCCCAGCATGAAGAGAAACTTGAACACACTACCCTCCTCGGGAAAGCTCCCCAGGACGGACAGGTAATGAGAGAGGATGAGACAGGACAAGGCTGAATGACAGTCAAGACTCAGGTCATTTCTTCGACAGTGGCAAAAGTAGTAGTGATTTGACAGACTCACATTTGACAGCTCATATTGGCTGCAGTAAGGCTAAGTTCTTTTGCAAATATCCCTATGTCAGGGTTTTTTATTTTTTTTCTGGCTCACTTCCCACTGAGACCATCTTCAAGATGCACCACTTAGTAACACTGGTAGAGTGTTGTGGCCCTTGGAACTTAATGTTTCTGGACTCTAGGTGTATGCCAGTCCTGAGGCTTCAACTTATTGCCTGGTTTCTGTCTCAGAACTTTTTTTGCTCAAGGTTAAGCACTTTATCATTTAAGCCACAGCTCCACATTTGGAATTTCTCTGGCTAATTGGAGATAAGAGTCTCATGGATTTTCCTGCCTGGGTTGGCTCCGAACTGCAATCCTCAGATCTCAGCCTCTTGAATAGCTAGGATTACAGATGTGAGCCACTGGCTCCAGGTTCGTATTTGGATTCTAACAAGGTATTTAGGTGTATCTTACTTAATTTTTTTAATTTAATATATTTATGGCTTATATTATTTTGAGATATGCATATATTGTAGACTGGCTAAATTAAGCTAGTTAGAATATACACTTAATTAACTCTTCAGTAGTGTGTTAGATGATATGATAAAATTATTGTAGACCATGAAGAATTTAAATTGAGAAAATGTATTGTCTTTAATGCCTTGCTGAAGGCTCAGGTAAGCATTTTCCTGAGGTTGGAGCATCTGGAACACATTATCACCCAGGTCTGTATCAGGGAATGAAGGAATAGAATTGCACTGGTGTGTGTGTGTGTGTGTGTGTGTGTGTGTGTGTGTGTGTGTGTGTGTGTGATGGTACTGGGGCTTGAACTCAGGACCTGGGCACTAGCCTTTATCTTTTTCACTCAAGACTGATACTCTACTATTTGAGTCACACCTCCACTTCTGGAATTTGGGTGGTTAGTTGGAGATAAGAGTCTCATAGATTTTTTTTTTTTGCCTGTGCTGGCTTTGATCCTGGTTCCTCAGATCTCAGCCTGAGTAGCTAGAATTACAGGCAGGAGCCACAAGCTTATTTGTGGTTCTGTTTCCAGGAATTAACTTGGTTTCCCTTTAAGACATGATTTTTCTCTGTGTATACCCTTTAGGTGCACATAATGACTTTCATTAGCCAAAAGAATAGCTGAATTGTCACTCACGTGGCATGATCTGACATGGCCATCTGATGTGAGACATGTGCATAGGGTGCCGGAGGCTGCCATGTTAGGGGTGCACAGAATTGGAGGTCAGGTGGCAGACTACAGTTGATGCCCACTAGCAATCCCAATAACCAAATTCATACAGTGAAATCTCTCATCACTGAATTCTCTGGCATAATCCTTTTGTTTTCAAATACCATCTCTCTATTCCTATCATGCTTTGGGGATGAAAAGCGCATTAGTTTGATTCATAAAGTGGCCAAAGAGGTGAAGAATTATGTCATGTTCCATTCAAGCTCCTTGGGAAATGTTAGTTGTGAGCATGGAATTCCTCAGGTGGGATTCTGCCAGCATACCAGGCCTAAGTTACTGGGTGAGAGCATGTTAGAAAAATGAATTTTGGCAGCTAACAAGTATTTTTTTTAAATGTGGAAGTAAGTGACCTTTGATTTAGTTTCTCTTAAAAGCTGGCTTTTTCTGGCAAGGGCATTTGATGGTGCTTTGAAAGAGGCAGGATTTTGCAACGACAGCAGCAGTAATCCCAGGAAACTTGCGGGTTGTTTGACAGCCTACATTTCTCAACAGCCAAGTGTGCTTTTTACCAGAGTTTGGCTTCTCCCTTTGAAGAATCAGCCTTGATTGTAGATGAGTGTATTCCAAGATTCATGAGCTTTGGTGCACAACTTAGATGCTTATTAAAATAAACAAACAAAAAGAATCCGTTTACTTATTCCTTTTCCCCTCTGCTCCGCCTCAATTTCAAAGGTCAGTGAATGAATCAAGTGCTTATGGCTTTTCCATGGAGTCTTTGGTTGAGTCAATGTACTGTTTCTCAAAGAGTTCACCGTGACATTCTGGAATTTGGTGAAGGAATCTTTTCTGGGTCAGCCTATCCTAGGGTGGTTTATACCCTTTGCTCATTTTTGACAAGACAGACAAAGGCTAGGGCAATGCCACCACAGGACAAAACAGGGAGGGTATAGATCCAAGGCATTTCTTCATGGGCATTGGGAATCATAGGTGTGGCTGAAGCTGGGGCTAAAATGCCAGCTAAGCATTTTATTATAGCTTGATTTTGTTTTATTCCAGCAAGGCCAGCACACTGGAAGTGAGTGTCCCTGAGCTTTTTTGCTCAAGGCTAGTGCTCTCTCACTTTGAGTCACAGACTGGATTTGTGATGGCTAACTGGAAATAAGGGTCTCACAGACTTGCCCGTCTAGGCTGGCTTCGAACGACAATCCTCAGATCTCAGCCTCCCAAGTAGTTAAAATTATAGGCATGAGCAACCAGCAAGCAGCTTACAAATTCTACTTTTATCTTTCCTTTGAGGAAGAGTGCTGATCTCACACAGCCCCAGAAAATGCCAGTCAAACAGGGGTCCAGCCAGGCACCAGTGGCTCACACCTGTAATCCTAGCTACAGAGGAGGCTGAGATCTGAGGATTGTGGTTCAAAGCCAGCCCCCAGGCAGGAAAGTCCATGAGACTCTCATCTCCAATGACCCACCAGCAAACTGGAAGTGGAGCTGTGGCTCAAAGTGGTAGAGCACTAGCCTTGAGTAAAAGAGCTCAGGGATAGCACCCAGGTCCTGAGTTCAAATCCCACAACCAACCTTCCCCCCCCCCAAAAAAAAAGGAAGGAAGGAAGGAGGGAAGGAAGGAAGGAATGGCTAGACAGATGGCAGGCACCGCAGCGCTTTCAGGGCAGCCTTGCCTGGCTCTGTTGACTCCGTCAACTGCCAGGTTACAAATTCTTCTCTAGGAATGTCTCAGCTTGGGATTTCACCATTAGCCTTTTAGTTTCTCATCCTCCATCAGCTCAGCCCTGTTCCCTGACCCTATCCACCCCTCCAGACTTGCCCCAAAACTCCCTATTTAATGTTAAGCTTTAAATAAATAAATTCCTATTTGCCACAGCACTGACTCACCGTTGAAGTCACCGCTCGGTGGCACCCTCTGGGCTGCCTTTCAGACAGAGGAAGTGGGGACCAGCCAGACACCCACACTTTTAGGCGGAGCCCACTTCTGAGAAGCATCAGGCTGGGAGATGTGTCATCTGCCCAGGGGTGAGAAGTTTGGGGGATGGGGAGAAGAGACAAGGAGGGAACAGAATTGAGAGGGGTGGGGGCAATAAGTCTGATCTGGGGGGAGGGTGAGCTGGCTTTTTGAGGGAAAAGGAGGTGAGCTCATGGATGAACTTTACTGATTGACAGGCGATGAAGTCAGACCTGGGTTTGTGCTATTGGGGTGGAGGAAGAGATGCTGTGCTGCTGAATTCCCCTTCACTCAGGCTGAAGTAAGAGAGGGTACACCATGCCCCAGATGCCTTGTTTTAGTGGTTACATTAGCGTGGAAGACAGCTGCCTCTCTCAGGGGGCTGTCCCATCCCATTAGAGCATGCTTTTCTGTGCAGAGGACCAGCAGCAGAGGCCCGACTGGGTAGCTCAAGGCTTGGATAATTTGGCTGTTCTGCTCAGGCGTGACCTTCATGAATATTGATGGCTTTGGATTTGATGAGCCCCTTCCTTCATTAAAAAGAAAAAGAAAAATTTTCATCACATCTATGTATGTAGAAGGAAAGCCACTGTAAGCTATTGATTAATGGTAGGAGAGAGCAAAAGAGGTGGTTAGTTTAATTACAATATAACATGTGCATATGTGAACTACCACACTGTGACCATTTTCAGGCACAAAAATTAATGATCAGATTATAAAACAAATTCTATGAGGGGTAGGTGGGTGCCAGTGAGAGGTGGGAGGGTAAGCAGAGGGTGAATGTTGTCAAAATACCTTATACGAAAATAAAACAGTAAAACACGTTGGAATTGCTTTAAGTGGGGGGAGTGATAGAAGGAATGAACTTGATCAGAGTAGGTTGTATACATGCATATCACAATGACCTCTCCTTGTACAGTTAATTTATAGTAACAAAAACATGAAAATGATATTTGACATTATTTTTATAAGGCTAAATATAACCCAGGCTTCATTCATTATTATATATATAATTATATATATATTATTATATAAGCTCTCCTCCTCCTCTTCTTCCTCCTCCTCCCTTTGCTCCTCCTCCAGTTCTTCCTCCTTTTCCTTTTTGTGCCAGTACTGAGGCTTGAACTCAGGGCCTGGGCATTGTCCCTTAGCTTTTTCACTCAAGATTGGTGCTCTACCACTTGAGCCACAGCTCCACTCCCAGCTTTTTACCCATTAATTGGAAATAAATATCTCACAAACTTTTCTTCCCAGGCTGGCTTTGAACTGTGATCCTCAGATCTCAGCCTCCTGAATCACTAGGATTATAGGCAGGAGCCACGTATCTGGTGGCAAGATAATCTTAACATGCATAATTATCACTGGCTGCAAGCATTTTTATCTTTCTTTCTTTTTTCTTTTTTGTCATGGGGCTTGAACTCTGGGTTTGGGCACTGTCCCTGCACTCTTAAGTTCAAGACGAGCGCTCTACTGCTTTAGCCACAGCGCCACTTCCGGTTTTCTAGTGGTTTATTGGAGATAAGAGTCTCACAGACTTTCCTGCCCACGGCTGGCTTTGAACTGTGATCCTCAGATTACAGCCTCCCGAGTAGCTAGGATTACAGGCATGAGCCACCAGTGCCCAGCCATTTTATCTTATTAATGGAAACACTTCTGCTGTTTCTAACAGCAGGGACATCTCTGGAAAGGACTCCAAAAGCCACTTTGCCACCTTGAGAGCTCTAAGTGTCCACAGTCTGGATTGGCCAGGCCACGCTCTATGCCATTTATTGCATCAATACAGAAGAGGTATGCCAATCACACACTTTCAGTGTGTTTAAGTTGCGATTTAACACCACCAACATAATTAACAACTTCAGTTTAAAAATTCTTTCCTATTTTAAATGCCACAAATTTACACGTAGAAACTTAGAAAATACAGAGAAATATTAAAGAGAAAACAAATATCACTCATAATTACATTACTAGATGACAATTAACATCATTAACCTTTTGGTGAATATTCCAAATGATTTTTTTCTTATATATATATATTTTTGAGGGGGCAGTGGGTGATATTGGGGTTTGAATTCACAGCTTTGCATTTGCTAGGTGGACGTTCTACTTGAGCCATATCTCCAATACTTTTTAGTCTGGTTATTTTTTGAGATAGGCTCTTGCATTTTGCTCTGGACAGCCTAGACCACAAGCTTCCTGTGGCTGGGGTGACAGTTATATGCCACTTCTCCAGCTTTATCTTTTTTATTTTATTTTATTTTTGTCAATTGTGGGGCTTGGACTCAGGGCCTGGGAGCTGTTCCTGGGCTCTTTTGCTCAAGGCTAGTGCTAGCTCTACTTCAGGTTTTCTGGTGGTGGTGTTTAATTGGAGATAAGAGTCACAGATTTTCCTACCTGGGCTGGCTTTGAATTACAATCCTCAGATATCAGCCTCCAGATTAGCTAGATCTCACCCTCCTGATTATAAGCCTGAGCCACCAGTGCCTAACTTCTCCCAGCATTTTCTGATGAGATGGAGTCTCACAAACTTTTTTTGCCCAATATGGCCTAGAATTGGTAATTCCCTCAAATTCTGCCTCCCAAGTAGCTAGGATTAGAGGCATGATACACCAGTGGCTAGTTGTTCATGCATTTAAAAAATACTCTCCAACCTAACAGAGACTTAATCTTTCTCAGTTAAAAGTATATAACATGCATATATTTCAACCACACAGTTTTCATTGTAGTATAAGGTTATGTAGGCTCGTGTTCCATTATGCAGGTACATTATAATTTACTAAGCAATCCTTTCTTGGGAAGCTATAATTAAGTTCTCTTCCCCTCCCCCCCCCCATCTGAACAGACCTGAACAGCTTTGGTTAGAAATATTTGCAGGAAATCTCTAATAACTTTTCAGTAATAAATTCTCAGAAATGGGATGTTGACATTGTTACAGCTGAGATATTTTCAATCTTCTGCAACAATTCAACCCAATGGAAACTTGTACTCTATGCTCAAGATAGTGACTAGTAATTTTTTTTTTAATGGCAGTCCTGGGGCTTGACCTTAGGGCCTGGGCGTTGTTGCTGAGCTCTTCAGCTCAAAGTGAGCACTCTACCACTTTGAGTCACAGCACCACTTCCGGTTTCCTGGTGGTTCACTGGAGTTAAGAGTCTCAGGGGCTTTCCTGCCCGGGCTTACTTTGAACCATGATCCTCAGTTCTCAGCCTCATGAGTAGCAAGGATTACAGGTGTGAGCTTCTGGTGCCCTGTTTTGATCACCAGATTTTAATTCCTGGAACATGCCTCCTAGTCCCTTCTTTGAATGCTTGTCTCCAAGGGCCTTCTTTCTACATGCAAGTGCTCTATCACTGAGCCACATCCCTAGCCCAATGGCTTTCCTTCAAATGCTTTCCTGAGATACCTAGATCTGAACCAATTTTATTTTTTGCCCAAGTTAAGAGACCAGGAATGGCCTACTTTTGGGAAATAGGAGTGATTACAAACCTGCCCAAGCCAACTAAGGAAGCAGCCGGCCAAACAAATGGCTTCAGAACTCATTCTGAGGCCAACAGGCCTGTGTTCGTGGGGTGCCCCCAAAACAGCCTGAGGCCAAACTCAAATGTTAGTGCTTTTCTTGGGGGGGGTGAGGGGAGGTACAATGGCAGGGTTGCAAAAATGAGAGCAAAGGAACGTGCAAGCATTGAAGGAGGAGGTGAGTTCTTTTTACCACTCTCCTTCGTGAGAAAACGCGGCCCATGGGTTGGTGGCCGGGGAGGCGTCTGCAGACCACGGCACCTGGGAAGGAGACCTGGGTGGGAGAGAGGGGGAATTATTTGCCTACTCCTTTAGGTTTCCTTTCACTTTTTGGTCCAAGCTCCCTTCCAGGCTATGTCAGAAAGATGTCAGGGAAGCTCCTGGGGCAGGGTAGGGGGGGTCTGACCTGACTCCCAGAGCCGTGCTCTCAGGGTGTGCTCAGGATGAACGCTGGCATGGGAGGCGCCCTGTCCTCACAGGGGCAGGTTACCGGGGTCCGACTCTAAGAAACGCTGTCTCCAGTGTGGCACGCTCTGGAGGGGTTTCCTCCCAGGAGTGTGCTAACCCTAAGAAAGCTAAGTAAGGACCCAACTTCCGCAGCAGGGTAGGGCAGGAATGCAGCATTGTGAAGAGCAGAGAAAGGAAATGATGTTTTGTGGGCAGGAAAGCTCCACCTTTCCTTCCTCTGAGGACAGAAAAAGAGCAAGAGGAGGTCAGACGGGGACATTCGGCTCAGCCAGCCACAACTTCTTCCACATCTCCGCATACCTGCTTGTAAGCAGGGCAGCCTGGGCTTCCGAGATCAAGGGCACCTCACAAATGAACCGCACAGGTTCAATCAAGGGCATTGAGCAGAGCGCGGCTCTGAGAATGGAAAGGGGCTGTAGACAACAGGCGCAGAGTCAGTGGCCTAAAGAATAGGAACACCCCAGGGATTTGTAGAACCTCGAGGAACGCAGGACATGGCGGAGAGGGTGGGGGGAGTAAGAGCAAATTTTCTTATAATCTTTGTATTGATTGATTTACTGGTTTAAGATTGCCTCTAAATAGTTGTATATAGGGACGTCAGTGCGTGTGTCAATTTAGGGGAACAACACATCTAAATCAGATTTGAATTGCTGTGACACAATACCCAAGAAAAACCAAATGCAAAGGAGAAAGGTTTATTTTTATCTCATAGTTTATGTTGTTTATTTTTGTTTGGGGGCTGGATGTGTCTACCTTTTTATAACTTTTATTTTTTTCCACTTCAACAGTCATACTATTTAATGTCCATAAGTGAAAACGGAACCAAATAACTTGGGGGGAAATAAGGGAAGAACAATGGAAAGGGGTGACATTGGTTAATATCATTATATTCATAAAGATTAATCTGCATTTGTATTCATAAACTGACTTGTTGAATTTCCTCTTAATTTTAAGGAACATACAGACGTCAGCTGACATCTGCCACAACCTTATTATATGACATGCTATTGAACAGCGTGAGCTAAAGATGGTGGTGGACTTTTACAAGTATGAACAAGTATGAGAGAAGGATGCTTTCCTTGAAGTGGTTTGAAGACTGAGTAAGCTGAAAGGAGATGGCAGGTCTTAAAGGCAACATTATATAATCATAATTTACCTCAGCCATAATAGGGCCGGCTGTCTGGCTGCAAGTCATTAAATTGTCTGTCTATTGGCGAATGTCTCTGAGACTTTTCTGGTCCCTTGGCTCATGAGTAATTGTTTCCTCGAAAACTTTTTTTTTTTCTCACAAGTCCTAAAGGCTCCTACTGAGTAGAAAGGATGTGACCCAATGGAGAGATTGCTACAGAGCTTACTGCTTATCCCAGCCACTTTTGATCTTCACTGGAGACAGGCAAGGGACAGGAAGTGAAGGACCTGTACAGGGCTGCGGTCAATAAGAACGGAAGCTCAGGGGTCTGGCTGAAGCCCCCTAGTTTTCTCCACCTTGACCACATAGGCTGATGAGCCATTTCCTCTAGTACTTTGTGTAAGTCGCAAGGAGTGTGTATCCGTGTGCGCATGCACATCTGAGAGCCGGGTAGCAAGGTGTGGCTTGTAGGTGAATTTTCTGAGTGCTAGCTGAAACCACCCAAAAGATGCTTAAAAATGCAATCATCCTGGGAGAGAGCGAGAGAAGGGGTGACATTGTCCAAGAAGAAGTGTACTCATTACCTGACTTCTGTAACCCCACTGTACATCACCTTTATAGTAACAATAAAAATATGTATGAAAATATTCTGGGCTGGGAAGGTGGCTCAGTGGTAGAGTGCTTACCTTGCATGCATGAGGCCCTGGGTTCAATTCCTCAGCAGTACATAAGCAGAAAAAGCCAGAAGTGGCACTGTGGCTCAAGTGGTAGAGCACTAGCCTTGAGTTGAAGAGCTGGGGGACAGCACCCAGGTAGAGTTCAGGCCCCATGACCGAATATATATATATATGCAATCACAGCTGAATGCTGGTGGCTCATGCCTGTAATCCTAGCTGCTCGGGAGGTTGAGATATGAGGATCACTGCTTGAAGCCAACTCAGGCAGGAAAAGTCTGTGAGACTTTCATCTCCAAATTAACCACCAGAAAGCCATAAGTGGAACTGTGGCTCAAAGTGACAGAATGCTAGCCTTGAGAAATAAGAAGCTCAGGGACAATGCCTAGGCCCTGAGTTCAAGGTCCTAGCTGGCACACATGCAAAAAAGTGCAATTACACAATCACAACTTTCTCCCAGTTATTTGATAATGTAGTCTTTGCTGGAATCTCCAGCTTGACCAAAGCAAAAGAATAAAGAAAGTATCAGCCTTCTCAATTTTCTAGTTTTCTAACAATTTTTTTTACTGAGGGTAATGAAAGACATTATAAAGTTCCTGAGTGTTGTCATGTCCCCATGAATCCCATTTTTCTTATTTTTGAGTGCTAATAAGCTTTAAGTAGGGGGCCCTAACTTACTAATAACCTGGCTTGAGATAAGGCTCAATGATTGGAGAGACTGGTGTGAAATCACGGGACAGATGGTATTTTTCTACACATGACCACAATACTATTTCCTGTTCCATACATTCTTATGATTCACAGTAATGCTTTTCTCAAGGAAGGATGAAGGTCCATGTCTTCTTTCTCTCTGTTCCAAAGCAGTGTAAGATAGCTTTAACCAACTGAATATGGCAGAAGTGGTGCATGTATCTTCTGAAGCCAGGCTATAAAAGGTGATTGAGCATCCTTTCTGTCTGTTGGGACACTGCCTTGGAGCCCTGAGCTATTCTGTAAGATGACGCCTAGCCCAAAGCTGCCATGTTGGTGGGAAGCCCAGGCAGCACAAAGAGGTCTGGTCTGGCTGAGGTTTTATCCCCAAACCAGATGAGATGCTGGAGATAGGAATGAAGATGTCCCAGGTGATTCTACTCCCAGTGCTCCAGGCTCCTGACATCCTGGAGTGGGAACCGAGTCTTGTCTACATTGCTGACCACATCTGATCATCTTAACAATTTCTTTACAATGTTGTTTTGGACTGGTTTGTAACATGGACATGCATATTAATTTAAATATGCTAATTGGAATAGATATAAAATTAGCAACCTTGTGCACTCCCCAAGTCCTCCAAAGATACTTTATTAGAGAGTCAGAGCTTCTTGGGAAACTACTTGAAAACCTCTGGACTACACAGTCTTCAAGGACTCTAAACCTTCTGTTTCTAATAAACTTAGAATTTTATAGATTCTGCAGTGGAGAAGAATCTTGCCTAGTGTTATGGGGTTCAATTCTGCACACCCACCTAAGATGTCAAAATCCTAACCTCCAGTACCTATGGATGTGATGGGAAATAGGGTCTTCACAGGTCTTCCAGTTAAGATGAAGTCATCCTAGTCCAATAGCACCATATCCTTGTCAAAAGGGAAAAATTTGGACATAGAAGTACATGCAAATGGGGCTGGGAAGGTGGCTCATTGGTAGAGTGCTTGCCTCACTTGCATGAGGTCCTGGGTTCGATTCCTCAGCACCAAAGCTCAAGGCTAGCACTCTACTGCTTGAACCACAGCACCACTTCCAGCCTTTTCTATTTATGTGGTGCTGAGGCTCAAGTAGTAGAGCAGTAACCTTGAGCTGAAGAGCTCAGGAACAGTGCCCAGGCCCAGAGTTCAACCCCCACGACCAACCAAAAAAGAAAAGTAGATGCAGATGGCTTGATTTAGATCCATGAGGCACCACACCCAATTGGTTACTATAATAGCACCAAGAAAATCATACTTAGGAGTAGGTGGGAGCAGGGTTGATGGACTTTATGTTCCAAGACCTTCAGAAAGTTCAGCTAGGACTCTTGATTGACTCAGCAGTCATCAATATCTATCTATCTATCCATCCATGTGCCCATTTATCCATCCATGTATCTATTCATCTATCCCTCTATCCTATTTATCCATCTATCATCTATTTTCTAATATCTGTCTATCTATCCTATCTTTCTCTCATCTATCCATCCTACCAGGTTCAAGTCACAATGGTAAACACTGTGTGGAAATGCAGATCAACAAATCTTGGTTTCTGTGTTCATTGGGCCCCAAATCTGGAAGGAGAGAGAATCATCATATACAAGTGGTAATGGTAAGTAATGCCAAACCCTTACACAAATTCACTTTGGTGGCTGCCACCTTCTGTATTCACTGTTAAGTCTCAAACAACATGCTTCTCTTCTATCTTGCTAGCCCACAATAGCAAACAACTGAAGCCATTGATTTAGTTTCAGAGTTTAATCTCAATAGCCCATGTAAATAAAGAGCAGGAAAGACAAAACAGTGGAGCCTAGATAGCAGTGGGAGAAGCTTTTCCTTATTTGCACAATTTTCCAGTATGCACTAAAATGATGAGGTAGTTTTTCAGCTCTTGTCTCCAAGAGTTCTCCAGAACTCTCACACAATCTCTTTCAAGTTTCTGAAACAAATATTCACACGGTCCCTCTTCTCACATTTACCATCCTTCTCCAGAATGGGCTATCAGTAAAACAAATAGATGTAAAAGTAAATATAGTGACCATTTTATTTTTGAATAGTAATAGTTGTGATATTTTTCTGTATAAGGGATACATAAAAAAGTTTCTGTGCTAGTACTGAGGCTTGAACTCAGGGCCTGGGTGCTTTCCCTGAGTTTTGCTCAAGGCTGGTGCTCTATCACTTGAGCCACACTTCCACTTCTGGCTTTCTAGTAGCTAACTGGAGATATGATTCTCATAGACTTTCCTGCCCTGGCTGGCTTTGAACCTCAGTCATCCAATCTCAGTATGCTCAGTAGTTAGGCTTATAGGTATGAGCCACTGGTGCCTGGCCTTTTTTATTAGGGGGGAAGGAGGGTTGGTGGGAGACATAACATTTTTCTTGTAGAGACCTTCCATAAGCCTAAATTGAGTATGTTTAATGAAGGGAGACCTCCTAGCTGTGTAAAATCATTCTGAGTCCTTTAAGTAACCACTGTCATTACTGTAAGAGTATTTACTGAAAGCTGAGCTGGATGTCCATTGTACAATCAGATCTGGCAAGTGCCCAAAAACGGCACTGCAGATTACACATTAAGGCACTAATTGCCCAAATGAAGCTCCGGGGGCACCTTTGGTTGATGCCGTGGAGTGACTCAAGGAAGGAAATAATTAGTCACAATTACAGCTCAACACATAAGGAAAGGATGCATGCAGCCTGTTTCATGCAGAAGGAGCCTTAGTAATAGCTTAAGAAATGCAAAAGATAAACATGGCTTCAAAATACAAGAGACAACTCTCCTTGTGAAGTTACAAAAGTGACTTTATTTAAGTTACGTTCTGTTCCTATGCACTACATAGCCAAATGACATTAAGACAATTACATCATGACGTTGCACTATAACAAATCAATTTCCAGCCCTCTCCTTGGCCACCATGGAGGTTTTGCCGGCATTGGACACACATACACAATGAGTATATAAAGCTTGGAGTTTCAACCCCAATAAAAATATTCATTAAAGAAACAGAGCAAGGTGAACAAATGAAGAAAGAAGTAAACTTAACCCACTAGACCCAATGCAGGCCAGACTCGTGCCTTATAATCCCAGCCCTCGGGAGGCTGAGGCAGGAGATCGAGAGTTCAAAGCCAGCCTGGAATACATAGCAAGAACCTAGATCAGAAAAAGAAATCAGAAAACATGTGATTGTTACTTTACGTGACCAAGAAATCAAATTGTCCCAAGTTACATAATCCTGTCAAGGTCTGCTGGCTGAAAGTATATTCTGGGACCGGGTATGGAGAGCCACCTCTGTGACCCCTAAATGAACAGAAGGTCGCCATCTTTATCAGTGAATGATTTGGGAAGGGGGAGTGAGAGTGAACGATGATTTGGACAGCTGGCACAAAGCTGAAGAACCCTGCTGGAATCTAACTGCAAATATCATGGCAGGTCTGGTCAAGACTATTCACATTTTCTTATCATGTTTCCAAATAGACATCACTTAGGCTCGCTGCATTTGGGCACACTCACTAATAACTGCTGTTTTGCTCCTTTGTGGTTTGCTAACTTGAGGTTCGTATAGAGCCCTATCCTGAATTGCTGAAGTCTTCCCCCAAAGGCAAACTGTTTGAAGAGCATTATCACTTTCAGGCTTCATTGGAGTCTGTGAGTTCAATTTTGAATGTACTGTCTAAGGACAAATGAAAATCATACACACATTTGTCTTACC